GAGCAATTGCTAATTTATTGTCTAGTTGCACACCTACACGAACATAGTACGCAAGTGTATGATACGTCTTATACAAGTGTATTATAATCATATACAGTATAAAATTGAATAATAATATCTTAATATGCTGACAACAATGACCGAGTGGCGACAACGGAAAACTGTGAACTCTCCACGTGGGCTTGTCGGCTTGACACGAGCATTTTTTTTGTGTTAGGATCATAAAAATACTTATAAGACGAAGGCTCAAGGTGTCTTTATAGATTAGAATACAAAGATGATTGTGATGATAAATTATCATTCAAAAATATGCATTTGGCAAAAAAATGATTTGATAACTTTTGAATAGTATAAAATTATTTAATTGTAATAATTATATCATAACTATGCACGCATAAAAATATCGGGATTAATAGATTTTATTGAGAACAAACCTTTTAAAAAATTACCAATTGATTGGTAGTTAGTACAACTGAGATGTATTTGGTTGTAATAACTAACGTGGGAATGATATTAGTTGTTAAATTATACAAATTAGGTAATACTTATTTATGTAAAATTGTATTTTAAATTCCCCGAGCTATCAATAATTATTGAATATTTTCATCATTGTATATTATCTTAGTATAATTGTATACAAAATAAATCTAACATAAAAACATATTTTTATGTTGCGTAACAAAATGGATATCCCTTTTAACACAAAGTATGCAATACGTTTAAGCCATTATCGGTAGTAAAATGAAAGTGAGATATTTCTCCTATAATGAAGCCATTTATTTAAATTTATTGAAGGTTGAATTAGTAATAGTATATTCATAATTATATTGACGTTTATAAAAAAAGATAATTGTAAAATCGTAATAATTTTTTTGACTACGAGATAATTTACAAGCCAATTAAATTGATTATCTTGAAATAATTATTTTTAAGTAGATATTTGTAACTTTTCAATCTCTTTTAGTTAATTACGTTACGTTATATGCACACTATTATGTGCTTGTTGCAGTGAAACTTTGATCGTGCGAAAACATTAACTGTGATTTTTAAGCACAGGTCTTTAAGTAAGCCATTCAATATGAACTCATTTAGTTGTTGTTGGGAACCTCCCAGTGTTTGTAAATAAAATTGTCGGTATTGTGCGTCTACTGCTTATTGTGGCCAAAATATGCTCCAGGCGCGTGTATGTTGGTGGGCTACAGTAATTGCCAAAATTAGACCCTACTAATGGATAAACGTCTATCAAAACAACTAATTATAAAACAATTAATTACAATACAACTGTTTTCTTTATAGGCTCAATAGCTCTAAGGGAAATACTGAAATAGGTAACGTTGTATTCAGACGTTTAGCACACGCTTATACCCTAAAAACTAACTCATCCGCAACACCAAAAAAAAAAATTGAAGAAAGAAAGGGATGAAGACAACCCGAAGCAACATAATTCTCATACGTCTAAATCATTGGTAAACTAAGGATTAAGAAAATATTACTTTCAATAAATCACAGAACATGTGGCAAATTACCAAGTAAGGTTTAAAAATATATGAAAATACAACAAACAAAAATAACACTTGATGTTTCATTTATTATCTTCCCTGCGGCCGACATATTGGGTTTGAATTGCTCACTTCAAAACAAGGGTGGCCTAAAAAACAATTTAAGAATAACATCATTTATTTTTAAATAAAACCTAAACCACTAATTAATGTTAGAAGCGCGTAATAAACTATTAGAGTAGTTATTTAAAATTTCAAATCAAGAAAAAAATGTGTAGTAATTATCATTAAATAAACTTCAATATAACGCTAGAAGAAAATGTTAAAAAAATTATTATTCATTGTGTTGAATTAGCAATAAAGTAGACGATGCTTAGGTTAATGGGCTAAAAGCATAAACGTTGATTCCCATAATTTTTATATTGGTCAAACGACATTTTACTTTTTTTAAACGCGTTTTTCAGAACCACTAATGTTAAAAAAATTTTTCTCTGTTTGTTGCGTGTTTAAATTTCTATATAGAAATGTAATGAAAAATATTTTTAATTGGATTTGTGTTCTTTCCTAGTGATCGATATATTAAGGTAAGGTAAGGTGATGCCTACCTAAAAAAGATTCATAATGAAAATTTTTTTAAAAGAAATTAATTTTAGCTTGTATCTTAAAAGAAAGATAAACTTGTCCATTAACAATATTAATTTTTCACAAAACATTAATGAATTGGAGAAAATTAATTATTTTATAAAAATTAATTTTGGGCGGTATTAGACATTTGAGTTGGCAATCAAAGCACGAGTGTGGGTTGACGCCCATAATTTTAAAATTTGATTACAGCTAAGTAAAATAGACAATTTTTTTTAATTAAGTAAAAAAAGATCATAAATATGTTCCATGAAGCGCCCAAATAATTCTTGTACAGGGTGCTTTGGAGATCATAAATTTTAATGTTGCTATTTAAAAAACTCAAGTTGGTTTGATTTTAAAGATCAAAAATAATCGAATAATTAGAAATACACTTTGAGATACACAAAAAAATTAATTCAGATAGTATTTTTTGTTTCAATGTATATTCGACGAATACGCGTGGGCAACTAACAGTTTGGCAGTTCTTAGAATTGAGTATATCTATTAGGAAAGTGCTTTGTCTGTGTCCAAATAGTTTTGCGAGTTAGAGATTATATTTAAATGAAGTTAACTAAGATAAAATAGTACATAGATTTATTTAATATTTGAATAACACACGGCTGTTAAATTATTCGTATTTTTATAAACAGTTTATCAAAAATCGATTAAAACCCGTTCTTTTACAGCCTTAAGTGTGAATAATCTCAAAAATTGGTAAATTTAGATCTACTTCAATAAATAATTTTATGACTTTTAACTGATTGGTTAGCAAAAGAAGTTGTTTGGAAAACAAACACTAGGAATGACGAAAACTTCCGAGACGATGTTACGTCTTTGAAAGAGGTAGCGATACAAAATTACAATGTAATGATTACAAAATTTTACATAAAATATTATTTAAAATGGACAGTGATATTTTGAAAGTATAATTATAGACCAACAGTAATTAAACTGAAAATTATATTAAAATACAATTTTTTTCGAGTCTCATAAAATGTTTGTAATCTTTCTTTGTCAACTTTCTTGGAGTTATAATTATGTAAAATATAGAACATTTTCAAAATTGTATACAGTCATTATACTGAATATAGTTTTTTAACAGCTCTGATTAATACATAATATGTATTAATTAGTACTTAAGATTAATATTATTTAATTTTAAAATAAAAATATGTAAAAAAGAAATAATATGAACCATAATTACACATGTAATATTGTATATAATTACATTATATAAAATTTAAACATTCAATACATAGTAATTAAAAATGCGGTTTAATACAATTAAGAAACAATGTTTGCTTTTATAGTTCCTCATTGTTTATTTTTTCTTTGTTGATAAAAAAATAATTATATGTTTTTGCTTGAGATTATAATGAAACTTAATAGCAATAAAAGTATTATAAAATGTCAATACAGTCGGAGGATTATCCTGGCACTTATTTAAATTATCTATAGTGGTCTTTTATTGTTTTACTCATAATTTTTATTCATTTAATTAAAAGATAGATCATTGTATTTTAATGTTTTAATTATTATACTTTGAGCCACGAGAGAACGTTTCTGAGTGGCTGTAGGTTAAAATATAAGTCATCTATTTTACCACTTGGCTGTCAAGTTGCGTTCGCACATGAATCGCAGTATAATATTATCATTCCAGTTGTTGTTATTACCAAAGATTTTAAATATATTTAAATAAAAATATAGAAAAAAATAATAATTTGTTAAGTTGATTTAATATGTATATTAGATAAGTTAATTTAAGGAAGTTACAAAGAGATATTGTTAATATTAATATGTTATTAATGAATAATAATTTGTGGTAATTTTCAGTACTAATACTTTACCAACTGTATATAATGCCTTGTGTTTTGGAAGTTGCCTATTATATTAAGTTTAAATTAATTAAAATCATTTGGTTCTTTAATCATGTTTTAATATTTAAATGTATGAGTATATACTCACATAATTTATCTTTTATTTAGTACTGTATCACGGCATAGAAGAGAATAATTGTTATTATGATTTATTAAGGCGTTGCGCCCGTCACCTTAAAGCTATTATAATACATAGTATGAAGCTATGGATTACACGGGAATGTATAGTTTTGACCGGCACTATTAACGTTTAATTAAAACTGTCATACGTATAATTTTATATGTTTGGGAGCATGGGGCGGTTAGTGTGCGAGAGCATTGATAAGATACTCTTTTCTTATAATGCTTTTAACTATTAAAATAACCCAAATAAGAATATTTTTAGTGCTTAAAAATTATAATTTTATAAAATATAATAAAATAATAAAATAATAGATCTAATTCTGTAGTTAAGAAGCAGCAAAATATATAAAAAATCTATTTTTAATAACTACAACAGAATTTTTAAATATGTCACTAACATGATTTAAGTTTCCTTTCATAACTTTAATTTAGTTTAACAAATGACGAAATATTATCATATATAAGTATTATTTATAAGCATTTNTCACTGTCAGATTAAATCTATACTGGACCCTACTATGCAATGTCTCCACTATGCCGCAACCTCTTTTTTTTTATTCACTTAAGAAGTAATTAAATATTATAACTTATTTCATTAACATGTTCAAAGTAAAATAACTTATTAAGAACCTATTTATCAAATTCTTAAAAAAATTTAAAGAATTACATAATTTTGAATATATTAATACAATACTATTTATTTAATGTATTCTAAGTAAACTGTTTTATTTAGTCTAAACAGACCAAGTGAAACAAGTGTGAAATAATTACCTAAGCTAAAAGCAAAATGTTAATAACAAGATTCTTATATCTCACTGTTTTTTAATTCCCTTAAGTTTCAGATCAAGTAATGATTAATTTTTTTTATGAAAATGTCAAGCCATTTAAGAATATAAATTTTTAGTTAAAAATTTGTATAATTATATTAATACACAGCGAATTTGTAGTAAATAAAATTAATTCTTTTATTATTTTCTTTTTCGTTTTGCATTTTTTTTTGATTTAGTGTCACTATTTTTTTTACGCTTGCTATTTTTATTTTGTCTATTACTTCTACTTGCATCACTCATATCTATTTCGATATTTTCATAAAGTAATCTGTTGTTGTACTGTGTACTTTTATTATTAATTTTGCTCTGTTGAAATCTTTGTAGATTTTGATTATTTTTTATTGCAGTAGAATCACATTGTTCCTAGAAAACAACATTACAAAACTTAAATAGACATTTTTTTTTAATTATTAAGTCGAATTACTACATAAAAAATATGCCCCATTATATAACCAATTTTAAACTATTTTTAAATATATTAGCATGAAGTATAAATTGATTTATCTTTACCATATACTCAATGATAATGAATAATTCATTAAATATACACTTAAGCGTACCCTGGGAAAAAATTTTACTCTAGTTACCCCTATAATAAAAATCTTAAGCTTATGTAAAATCACTATGTTTTTCAATAAAACAACACTATGATTATTCTTGCATTGAAATTAACTTAAAATGTATAAAGACTAGTACTACTACCCATAATTTAAAAATTAACAGTCTAATAGTTATAATTAATGATTCTAATCATTAATTTTACATTTATGTAATAATGTAATTAATCGAAATATTTTTTTGTTGGAACATTCTGATCCATAGAAAAAATTCAATTATATTACTTTTTCATTACAGTAAAATTTTTAATTCTTTCAAATCTAATCGCTTTTCCAAGGCAAAAAAACTCAAATTAATTTATAATTTGTTAAAATACGATTACCCGTTCAATAATAATATGTTTTATAAACAACCATCTATATAGTAGTTTCTTACTTGGTTATTTGTTTCATTTTTGTTCGTATCAGTGTGTTTTTGGAAAGTTTCTGAATTATTTTCATTATTTAATGTACTATTACTTGTAGGCGATTCATTTGATGTGTCGTCAACGTCCTCTTCCTGATTTTCATATTCATCATATTCATCATCTTCATTAACATCGGCAGTTCCATACAAAATGGTATTGTCATCTCCAGTTTCATCGTCACAACCCTTATCATCATCACATTTTTTTTTGCATCTTCGTTTTCTTCTTTCTTTTGAGCATTGTCTGTGTTTCTCTTCGATTTCTCTGAAAAGCGTAGATGATTCACATGCAAGTTTAGATAAAATTTGTTCTGGCGGCGGTGGAATATTGATATCACAATTTTTCATAAAAGTCATACATCTAAATAAATAAATAAAGAAAAACAAAGTTCTAAATTATAAAAATAAGACAAAAAGTTAATTTTTCTTTAACTATATTTTGAATTTAAAACAACTATGTATGATAAATTTATTTATCTTATTATTAGAATTTTTCGTATTTATATAATACAAGATAAGTATCTTATATTTTAAATAAAAACTACCAACCAATTTCAACTTTGTTTTTGATACATATAATTTGTAGCTTAGAACTAGATATGTAAGATCAAAATTGGTTCAAAAAATTATGCCCGAGAAATCGACTTAATATACCTCAATTGAGTGCAGTTAGACTCCTCAGAACCTGTACAATTTGTTTTTGAATTAGTTTCCCAAATCCATGCTGAAGTTGTAGGTACATTATTTGATGGATTATCTTGAGATGAACATTGACATGCCATCTGAAGTCTTCTTTTCGGCAATCTATTTATGGGAATTCGTTCAAATTGTTCTTGGACACAGTTATCATCAGTAACATTTTCAGTTGATGAAAACATATTTATGAAAATAAATTCAATATGCCTTAAAAAATATATCCATCTTCATTATTTTTTTAAAATTAGGATTGGATATATTCAATTATTTAAAACGTAACCTACTTGTTAATAACTCTTTGTTAAAGATGAGTTAAATTATTGCAATATTTAACAATTCCTTTAAGCAGAAGAAGTAATTTGATACAACATCATATCTCTACTTCAAAAAAATATAAATTTTGTCATAAACATATTGATTATTCTTATTAATCTTCACTGTTTATGAAATTAATATTATGAATAAAAATTTTTAAATAATTTACTAGCCAATAATAGAGTAAATTTAATTAAGAATCTATATTATTACATATTATTATTTTTAACGTTTTAGAATTCACAATAGTATTATATAGTAATTCTATTATAACTAATGCTGTTCTTGCTGATATCATCTAATAAGTAACGAGAGTAGACAATAATTAAATAACAAATTAACCACAAATATTAGAAGTTCTTCAAAGAGTATCTTATATTTAAGGGGTAACAGGGAGCCCTTAAATACTAATGGCCGGCGAAGCAACACAAAACATAATAGTTAAACTCAATTATTACAAATAATAAATAACATAAAAGAATAATATAAAACTCAGCTGCATAGATGAAGTTGTTGATAGTGATGAGTGAATTGTATGAGATCTTGTGGTAATGGTGTCAAACATCTGAGTATCACGAGTCAGAGTGTAGATCCAGGCATGCAATGACAAATGAAAACAGACGGCGGAAAAGCGACTACGGCAATGAAGATATTTAGTTATGGTTAAAACCTAATCACTCGAGGTGTACAAGGGCACGAGAACTTTGAGCACAAGGGTGCAATAAACAAATACTAAGAATAACGGCGTATAATGGCCGAACAATTTACCATACAATCGAAGGCGTTTGCTATAAAAAAAATATGACACAGAGGACATCGATTACCCGTGCTGGGTGGGAAAGGAGATGAGTAAAGCAAAGACGCTAGAGATTAGCTGTCACGCGATATAATATAATCAACAGTGTTTGTGCACAATTGGTCTACTAGGTCTTTGCTAAAGGCGTTTTCTACCAAACATACTTTCCGCGTTGAAAGACGAATTCTTTCAAAATAACTTGAATGAACATGATCTTAGCTTGAGATGTAGTCTTAATACAAGCATGAAATAACAACTTGAACAAAATATAATCAAATAAACAAAATACATTTTTAAATAAAATTATTGATAGCTAATCAAATTATAAACCAAAATATCGAGTTAGCTCGATATCGAACCACGCGTGACTAGCCTAAGGAAGAGAAAAAAGAATTAAAGGAAAAAGGTTGCGGGCAAAGTAATTAAAGATCATCAGTAATAAAAAAAACTCTTATTAAAAAATACGCGACTTTGTAAGCGAACGGACAGCTAGTCTAGTTATGCGGTTCTTTGCAGTGTACATACGAGAGACCAAAATATGGGGTGGTGTTGAATTGTAGGCTGAACACTTACCGTTGTAAATAGTCGATGTTCTGTAATTCTGACCTAGTGCAATTGCGTTGGTCGTTCTTGATACTAAAAATATCGAGTAAAATCATTAAAAGGCCAATGATTGTAATTTTTTTTATTGGTGTTATACAAACTTGTATAAAACTTGGGTTTAGTAGTTGATACTATTTGCGGAAGATAAGAATAAATATTTTGAGACGAATTATTAAACAATGGTCGTGACATAGCTGTTAAAACGGTTTTTCGGTGACGAACTGTAAAGTGACTAATTTCTCTGGCCTATTTCCCAACCAATATAAGAATTAATTTCTGATGGCAATCCTTTATAATGAATGGTCTTTGTATTTGGGCGATTCAAATACGGAAACATGTTACTATCGATGATCATGTCAATACATGTCGAGTGTTCAAATTGCGGTTTGGCTAAGAACAAATGACCGTACCGTACACAAACAGCAGAAGATAGACAGTTGTGACGTTATTTGTGGTAAAATAAATAAATCTTTATAACTGAAAATCGAATCCGTTCAATGATGAGGCACAAAAGTACAAGAAGTACAAACTTTTACTGGACCAACCGTATTGTAAGTTAAGCCAATTAATTTTGTTTGACATGGATGACGTACTAGTCCAAAACGCTCAGCGCACTCATTGTTAATTGTCGAAATTTGAGAGCCGTTGTCTATTAATACGCGGAACGAATGATAATTACTACACTCATCTGAAACACGAACAACAGCCGTATCAAGCACTATGGTACAATTCGTATGTGCGGTACAGGAAAACTGAATGTTTGATTCTTCAGATGGAGATTGTTCAGAGTCTAATACAGTATTAGTCAATGAAACATTTGACTTGAAATCCATGTGTAGCATTGTATGATGAAGCTTCTTACATTGTCTACAAGTTGGCACAGAGGTACAAGCGTTGACCGTATGATAAGGACTCATGTACAAAAAACATAATTTGTTTGATTTGACAGAATCACGGCATCTTTGAACTGATAACTATTTGAATGCCAGACAACGATTGAGTATATGCGTGTCTGTAGTGCAACATTCAAATTTATTATTGCATGACGACGCAGAACATGATGTCAAAAGAGACATTTGAAAGTCAACGAGTAGACATGAGTGGACACATTATTCGAATAATACGAATTTTCATTATGGTGTGTGACTATTTTTTCATAAAAACTACTATTTTCCAATATCTTACAGCGCTTATAAATGAATTTAAATAAAAAATCAAATGTCAGAATTTCTGTTTAAAGTATAATGCTTTCAAATAAATAGGTTTCTCACAATAGTTAGCATATGTAATAAGATATAAGATGTATTTCTTATTGTGGTATAAATTTGCAATTTCTGTCATACTTTTCCTTTGTCTTAGAAGTTCTTCTATTTATACAAATTTTCTTCTGAATTGGATAGCGACTATTTTTTTCATATAGAAATCTCTGACATTATTGTCTAAATCTCAATCTTTATTTTCTTCAAAGAGATTTCCAACGATTCCTGAAAATTCGGGGTAGTAGATAATGACTCCCCCCTGACCTGTAGAAATTTGTTGTAAGTTTGCTCAAGCTGTTGTTTTTTTATCGTTTTAGAGGCGAATGTCGATGGAAACTGTGTGTTTGAATGTTTAGAGTAATCTTCCTAGTCTCATTGTGAAATGATGCTGTCATTCTGAATGATTTTGTGATGTAGAATCTTGTTTCTTTGACTGAACCCGGGTTGTACCGTGTTTGCGGCTAAGCGCATCAGCTTTAGTATTATGATAAGCTGACTTGTAATGAATTTCATATTCATAACCTTCTAATTTAAGTCTCCATCTCATTATTTCGTGTCTGGGTCGTTGATATTGAATAATCATACAAGAGCTCGATGGTCCGTTACTTTGTGGAATTTTTGTCCAAAAAGATAGAAGCGGAACTGTTTAATATCACATATAATTGAACACAACATTTTTCGGTTGTATTATAATTTTGTTCAGTTCAAATCAGAGTTCTAGATACGTATGTGATTGAAAAATCCATACCTATAGAACATAACATATTGCAACATTGATTGAGTCACAAATTAGGTTAATCAGTTAGCTAAAATCTGGATAATGAGGTTCCTGAGTTAGAACATATTTTAATTTTCCAAGTGATTCTTGACATTGATACGACCAGCGGATTGAATGAGACATCTTTCTTTAAAAGATTCGTCTGTAATATTTTTCCTGCATAACACTTATTGTGTCTGGTGTAGCTGGGTACTCCTACCGGAATCAGTAGCCTACCTGTAAGAACAGCCCGAAAAGCTTAACGCAACGTAGGTGCGTGAGGCCTAAAGGGCACTGAATCTGGGGCGGAGCCCCAGCTAAGCGAAGCCTAGTAAATAAACATTAAATAAAAAATATTAACAAAAATAAAAAACCCAGCACAGGGGGGTCGCGGCACAGTGGTGATGTAGCATAGTTGGATCAAGTATTATGATATCTGACAGTGATTAAAATCACTATCAAAAAAAAACGCTTCGATGCAAATCTTTAGATAGTGTTTAATTTTAAAAAATTGGTGGATTATTCCAAAAGCTATTTCCTTATTTATATTCTAAATGAAAAAGGGATTATTGAAAAATATTATTTCTCATAAAAGAATTGTGTTGATCCATACACTTTTCAATAATTTATAGCATTATAAAGATAAAAATGTAAAAAATAAAATCGAAAATTTTCACACGAAAATAGCATTCAGTAGCCATTTTCACCGTGAAGACAAAATAAAGCCCGAAATTTTTTTTTTCATAATAAAGTACATTACATTAGCTTTAATTTAAGATATATATAAAAGTCTTTCCGGAACACTTTCAAAAGTTAAGAGTAAAAGTAATTTTTTTGTGAAAAAGTTGTAATTTAAAATCCCCCTCTGTGGACAGTTAAAGGATTAGATTTATAAAAGAAATATACCAAATAATAAGTAAAGACATCAAGCATCTATACAAAAAAAAATTTACTGATCCATACCTTTNACCAAATAATAAGTAAAGACATCAAGCATCTATACAAAAAAAAATTTACTGATCCATACCTTTTTCCAAAAGTTATAGCAATATAAATTTAATAATATAAAATCGAAAATTAGTTCACGGAAATCGTACGTCTTTCTTTAATTTTGATGTGCGTTTTCACCACGAAGACAAGTCCAGAGGTCAAATTGTTTTTTTTCAAATTAAAGTATATTATATTAGCTTTAATTTAAGATATATATAAAAGTGTCAGACCTTCCGGAACATTTTCAAAAGTTAAGTTGAAAAAGTTAATTTTTTGTAAAAAGTTGTCATTTTAAATCCCCCCCTATTTCACTTCTCAATAAAAATTATAATATTCGTCAGCTCACTTTACTTAAAATTCATGGGTCTGTCCTATATTTACTAATACCAAATTAAAATGGAAGATAAGTATTGTTGTGCCGATATTTAAAAGTAGAGGTGACATACAGGAGTGTGGAAATTATAGAGACATAAAGCTTATGAGTCATAGTATGAAAATTTGGGAAAAGGTAACAGATAAGAGAATAAGAAATGAGACATCGTTATCTAAAAACGGTTTGGATTTATGCCAGGTAAGTCAACAATAAAGCACGTATTTTGTGTGAGACAACTAATTGAAAAGTTTAGGGAAACGAAGAAAAAGCTGTGTATGGTATTTATAAATTTATTGAAAGCGTATGACAGAGTACCAAGAGAGGTTTTAAAGTGGGCATTAATGAGAAAAGAAGTCCTGAAAGGGTTCATTAATATAATAGAAGATATGTATGAAGGCACTTGTACCAGGGTAAAAAAGCATAGGAGGAGTATCAGAAGGTTTTCGGGTAGGAGTAGGAGTGCACCAAGGTTCTGCTTTAAACCCTTACTTATTCTCTATAGCATGGGTGGCCACTAACCTTTACTCAGGGAGCCACAAATTTATGAAGCTGTTTTAAGGCGAGCCACATTGTTTGGAGATGAATTTATGGTTAATAAGTTAAAGACACTTTTTAATTTTAAAAGAAGAAACATTTATTGTACTCTACTTATTTATAACATTCAATGTTAACTTAATGTTCAATTGCTTTTACGAGTGTTCATTTTAGCTGTGAGTTGTTTGAAGTTTGGTTTATAATTGGTAAGCGCAGTTCGCACGAGTTCACTNTAGTAAGCGCAGTTAGCACGAGTTCACTCAAGTGTTCATCAGTTAGTTCAGATCGATATTTAGATTTAATGAACCCAGGTTCGAGAGCCGCACCAGATTAACTCAAGAGCCGCATGTGGCTCGCGAGCCTCGTTGTGGCCACCCCTGCTCTATAGTGATGGATTAAAATACTAGAGAAATACAAGGAGAGGTGCCCTGGTGCATGTTGTTTGCTGATGATATAGTGTTAATAGGAGAAGATAAGGAGGAAATTAATCAAAGCCTAGAGTTGTGGAAATCAGCTCTTGAAGAAAAGGGTTTAAGAATAAGTAGAAGTAAGACAGAGTATATAGAGTACGAGTTTAACAAAGGAAAACACGAGGTATGTGAAATGAGGAGGTCAGTGACAATAGGCGAGGACGTGATCGGAGAAGTGGAAAGTTTTAAGTATTTAGGGTCATATCTGCAATAGAACGAGGATGTAAGACACAGGATTGAGTGTGGGTGGCTGAAGTGGAGAGAAGCGTCTGGTGTCTTATACGATAAAAGAATTCCAATGAAGCTAAAAGGTAAATTTTACAAGACCAGCTATGATGTATAGTTCAGTGTTGAGCAATTGATGAGAAAGTAGAGCAGAGAATGAGTGTAGTTGAAATGAGAATGCTTAGATGGATGAGTGGAGTGACTAGAAAAGATAGAATAAGGAACGAGCATATAAAAGGGAGTATAGGTGTAGCGTCAATCGTGGATAAGATGAGAGAAAATAGACTTAGATGGTTTGGTCATCTTATGAGGAGAGAAGAATCGGAAGCTATAAGAAAAGTTATAGAAATGAATGTTGAAGGAAAAAGAGGTAGAGGAAGACCAAAAATGATATGGAGGGATGCTATTGAATGCGATATGAGGACAGCTGATGTGAGAGATCGTGTCAAGTGGAAGTTTAGGATAAGAGTGGCCAACCCCAAGTAGTTGGGATTAAGGCGAGGAAGAAGAAGAAGAAGACGAATAATAGCATAACATTAATGATAAGTGCTAAAACCGACTTGGTTGATAAATAATATTCAAAAATTCAATAAACGTACTACAAGGTTTCATATTTTAGCTACGCTGCATAGCTGAGGAGGTATTGGTTTTATGATGGTATACATTATTTATTATGTTTGTCCATAAATATACTCATTTTTCAATGAATCAATTCATCAATCAAAAAACTTCAATAGAACTTGATTTTAATCTAATTAACCTATCATCGCTAAAAATTGAAAAAATCACTCAATTTTAAAAAAAATCTCAAAATTTAAAAAAACAGCATTAAAAAAAAAATTGTTTGCAATTAATACTATTATAATGTTTTTAAAAAACACTAAACCTTATGANAAAAAAATTGTTTGCAATTAATACTATTATAATGTTTTTAAAAAACACTAAACCTTATGAAATTTTATTAGCATGTAAAAAATGTTTAAAAAACCCAGCACAGTGAGGTGGCGGCACAGTGGGGTCGTGGCATAGTTGGGTTCAGTATAGATGATATCTGACAGTGATTAAAATCACTATTACAAAAAACGCTTCGATGCAAATCTGTAGATAGTGTTTAATTAAAAAAAAAAATTTGTTAAAATAGCATATTTTTTAATATGGTAGCCATTTGCGTATAGAAGATAGCTCGTCGGCACAAATTTTTTTTTTTCATTAGATAGTATATAACATAACCTTTAATTTGATATATGTTTAAAGGACGAAGTATTTCCGAAACATTTTTAAAAGTTCAGTTGAAAAAGATCTATGTTTTTTACAATATTTCAAGTTTTGAACGCCCCCTATATAAGGGGAAATTGTCCAATTTTAATAAAAAGTATGTGAAATGAAAGATGTACTTATAATGTATTTAGAAAAAAAAATTTGTGCTGATATATACATTTTTCAAAAAGTTATAGCATTTTTAAATTGAAAATTTAAAATCGAAAATTTTAACACAAAAATAGTGTTTTTTTAACTACGGCAGCCGTTTAAATGTA